ATATGAGATAGGATATCATATCTTAGAGTCTGGTAACTGTTCAATGGCAGATGATGATGACATTGATAATCAAAGACTACATTTCTTTAATTCAACTAATGGCAATACATTTACTAGTAGAATTACTGATCTTGATGCTATGTCTTGTTATTTTTTTGGTGTACGTGCATATTCTGATAGAGGATCTGGTGGGTGGGTCTTTATTGCTAATGAGACGCTGGAACTGCAACCATCACCTACAATAACAGCAACAGTTAATAACCCTACAGATGTAGAATCAAGTTTAGTTAAAAAGTATTGGTTTGGTATGTTCCTATGCTTAATATAGGTATTGCAGCAGTTGCTGGAGGAGCTGTTGGAGGAGTTGTACTTGCCATTATCATTTTATTTATTATAGTATTAGTTGTATGTTTAATGAGGTACATGTATGTTCATTGCGTAGCTGCTATTATATTTCTTACATTAGGAGAAGGTCTATAGCTAAAGAGAAGAAAGCAAGAGCTGCAGCTGCCATTGATGATGATTGTGGTCAGTTTCGTATGAAAGACAAGAAACTATCATCAACATCATCAGTACAACATAACACAGCACAACAAACTAGTAAGACTATTATAATACTAATTGTTCCTATTATTTGCTACTAATAGAATACGATGAACCTCAATACAGTACAGTACCAGAAGTAACCTATCAGAATACCACAAAAAGTATTCTCAACACTAATAATGATGATAATAAAGAGTCAGGTATTTTAAAAGGTGATGTGTATAAAAATTATAATAAATTGCAGAATCAATCAAAGTTACTGTTACTGAAGTATCACCTCCAACTAGTCCTAATTCTGTTTATACTAAGATACTGCCACCAACAGAACCTGAATCACATTATGATGTCCCTACCTCTGGTCCTACTATTGCTCCATATATTCCAGTCACTCTACCTATAGCACTGGAAGATCTGGGCACTCATGTAGCAAACTGCCATACTGATAATAACACTCTGTTTGGAGAGCAATATAAAGTAAGGGAATATGCTAAACTTAGTTGTATTTAAAAACTGTATATTATCTTAGGCAATATATAATGGTGAAGATAAGTCAACTGTAATTGGTTTCAGTCAAGAGAACAAAGTTTATAATCGTTTCAGAAACATAACTCCATGTAAGAGAAATGACAGTAATAGCTTGATAGATGTTGCTGTAATTTTTCCATAGATGATGATAACAGGATTGTACTGACCCCATGGCCACAGCTAGACAAATGTCAAACAACTTACACCAATGCAAGCTATATTGATGTAAGCTCATTGAGATGTTTATATTATATCCTATGGTACTGTGTTACATACAGGGTTATAGTAACAGGACAAAGTTCATAGCATCACAAGGTAGCAATTCATTCATTACCTTTAAAATTAGAGTAATTTTTAGGTCCAATGAAAAGGACATTAGTTGATTTCTGGCGCCTTATCTGGCAGGAGAAGCCAGTGTCTATTGTAATGGTAACCAACCTGAAGGAAGGAACTAAGAGCAAGTGTGAGCAGTACTGGCCTAATAGCACTGGTGATAATGATCATTTTGGACCATTCACTGTCACACTAATAAATGAACAGGTTTATCCTGACTTTGTTATCCGCCAACTTAATGTTAAAGTAAGTCAATTATGGTACTACATAATTATATTAACCTTGTACACTTTCACAGATATACAATGGATCCAATGATAGTCATACACTGACTCAGTATCATTTAACCTCATGGCCTGATCATGGAGTACCTGATTATGCTACACCATTGATGTCTCTTCACAAACAAGTCATGGCTACTTGGTCTCCCTCTAAAGGTCCCATCCTGGTCCACTGTAGTGCTGGTGTAGGTCGTACTGGTACATTTATTGCTATAGACATAGCTCTGGAACAAGCTAAGAGAGAGGGAGTAGTAGATATTGGTGGTATTGTTAATAGGCTCAGACAACAGAGAATGAAGATGGTTCAGACACTAGTAAGGATATGAGTACATACATTCATTCATTTATATTAACATTGTATAGGATCAGTATGTGTTTCTTCATGATGCTGTACTGGAGACAGTGATGTGTGGAGATACAGAAATACCAAGCAATGAATATGAAATGAAACTTCGGGAGTTAAAGGAGATTGATTCATCAACTGGTTGTTCTGGTCTACAGTCTCAGTTTGAGCTACTCTCTCAAGTGACTCCTGATCCTGATGATGTTTTTTGTGATTCTGCTAAAGCACATTCAGACAAAAATCGATCCACCAGTTACTTACCACGTAAGAACTTTTACAATCGATGACAATCATTCATATTCTTTGTTACAGAAGAAAACTTTCTTGTAACACTTAAAGAAAACAATGGATACATCAATGCATCATACCTATCAGTAACTGGCATTGTGTTAAGTAATGCTTCATTGTATGCACATTTTAGGGTTATCGTGAGAAGAAAGCATTCATTATAGCTCAGAGTCCTATGGAGAACACTGCCAGAGACTTCTGGAAGATGATAGTGGACTACAAAGTGTCTGCTATTGTCATGCTCTGTGGACTGGAAGAGGATGGAGAAGTAAGTTGCAAAGATTAAATAAATTTCAACAAATCTTAATACTGCAGGAGTCATGCTATCAGTATTGGAGAGATTCTGACGTGGTTCAGTTTGGAGAATATTTCATCAAAGTTGAATTTAGCAAGGAATGCAATGGATATATTGAACGAAAGTTTCATATTCGTTCAGACAAAGATGAGAGCTCATGGGATGTGATACAATTACAAGTGACAGATTGGCCTCAAGATGGAGTTGTTAGGGAACCACGTACTGTCCTACAAGTTATTGATGATGTTATACACAGACAACAAAAGATTGGAGGAGGACCAGTAGTGGTACACTGTAGGTAAGAGAGAGAGTTATACTGATAGACTAATGATGAGTAATTGATTATTGTGTGTGTGTGTAGTGATACAGTGAGTCGTTCAGGAGTGTATTGTTCAGTGAGTATTGGTCTAGAACAGTGTAAGGCAGAAGGTGTAGTGGATGTGTTTCAAGTGACTAAAGCTGTGAGAAGGAGTAAACCAGGAGCTGTGACTACACTGGTATATACTAGATATATGAGTGGGTACTAGTGTATTAATGATATTATCTCTTTACAGGAGCAGTATACTTCCATATATGATGTGATTGACAAGTTCCTTGCTATTAACAGTACCTATGCTAACTTTAAGTGATTTAATAGTTTTGCCATTGCTATTTTTATTTATACTGGCTATATTTCTTTATTTCCCATCATAGTTTTTTATTTATAGATTATTAGTTTTTTTACAATAAATTTTTATTCTCAAGTTAACAAATAACTTCAGAACACTAACTTCACCAATCAGTACTATATGCAACTGTATGTACCTTAAAGTTAAAAACAAAGAGTTCTTTTTGACTGGAAACTATGCATCATTTTTTTCAATGACTTAATTATATTAAACTGCATTCAAAATAAAAATAAAATATCAATCTCTATATTATAAGCATCAGTTAAATAATATTAAAGTATTCTCTCTGTATCATCAACTTTATTCAGTCCTTGATTTATAACAGCATTGGCAAGGGAACCAAACAGGACACCTGGAGACTCCTAACTCATTTCTAGTGTCAGCATGACTTTTAACAATATTGAGGAATACTGGAGAGAGAAAGAAGGGGAGAAAAAAGAGAAAGATAAGAGGAAAGGTTGAAGGGGAAGAGATGTAAAAAGTAACTTGTAGTGCTCCTCTTACCATCTTCAAGAGTAGTCATCTTTATTCCCCAGTCAACAATACCAATCTCATTCTTCACATTGTCAAATAGCTCAAACAATTCACTCACTACCACATCTTCCTTTTCCATTTGATATGTACATGAGTCTAATCAGATTATAATATTAATCTGTTAATACTCCTTTCTTACCAGCATAGGTTTCCATGTGCTTGGCAGTGGCTACATTGGCTTGTACATATCTCTCAACTTGTCTTATTTTTCCTGGCATGCAGTGAAATTTTAATTGATAGCCCTCACCAAATTTTGCTTTCAGACGAGTCTGAGAGCCTAAGCATCTCAGACGACCATAATTCATAATACCTGAAAGAAAAATAAAAATTAAGAATAATTGCATAAATATGCATATTCTATGTCCATTTAAAAATTGTGCATGATAAATACTAACCAATTCTAGTGCAGAGATGATCAGCTTCCTCCATTGCGTGAGTGGTCAGTATGACACTCCTTCCATCTTTAACTCTCTCTATGACCTCCCACACTTGTCTCCTCGAGGCAGGATCTAGTCCAGTCGTTGGCTCATCCAATATCAATATGTCAGGGTTACCAATGCAAGACATTGCTACTGACAGACGACGTCTCATTCCACCAGATAACTGCTTTGATCTTCTGCGACGTGCATCATACAAATTAACCTGAACAATAAACAAAAAAGCATTATAAAATATGAGATACATCTAGTTTTAAGTGCATTCATAAATGGGATAAATTATTTTAATATATAGAAATATTTTTATTATTTTTATGTTGCTATTTTACTTGTCTAAGTGCTCTGTTCACTACAATGCTGGCTTTGCCTATTTTAACTCCTTTCAGTCTAGCATAGAACAAGAGGTGTTCTTCAGTAGTCAGTTCAGGATACTGTATGTCAAATTGAGGGCAGACACCAAGGTGATGATGAATATCAGATATCTGCAAATAATAATAATAATAATAATAACGATGATGAAGAAACAATGTACACGTAACAGTATAACTTTTTTATATATAAATATAATTAAGAAATAATGTAATACATGTACAATGTAGGTCTTATTGTTGATTACTTGTGTAGCAAGATCATATCCAGCTACTTTAGCAGATCCAGAGGATGGTTCATAGAGACCAGTGAGGACTGATATGAGAGTTGTCTTACCAGCACCTGAAAGAGTAGGAGGGTAATGGATAGAGAGAGAAGGAGAGAGGGTTCGTTACCATTGGGTCCAAGTAATCCAAAGCACTCGTTACGATTAACGACTAGTGAGAAACTCTCTACAGCAACGTGAGGAGGTTTACCACCAGAACCAGGATACTGTAATAAAAGTAGCAAATTACGTACAGAGTAATTGTATGTACATATATGGTATACCTCTTTTCTGAGTCTAGATATGATCACGGGTGCATCTAATAAGTTGTATTCATTGTCAACCAGCGTCTCTTCTTGCTGGACTTCATTATCAATCTCTTCATTAGTTATACTTATTGATATATTATTGCGTCTCTGACAAAAAAGGAAATGAGGGGAAGAATAGAAATTGGAATATCATACACGTGTAAATGTACATGTTACTATTCTTACTCTGGGGCTGGTTGGAGTGCTCAGTTCTTTTGGATCACATTTCTGTCGAAAACCAATTTTCTTTAGTATCCACAAAAAGCCCTTGTATAAAGCTGAAAAATATAAAGAAATCTCTAAAGTTTGAGTTTAAATTAATAAGTATATGTAGAACCAATTAGTACATTATTTCACAGGGTTCAAGTCAGGATGGACAAAGTACAGGGTATTTTGTCAAAAATGGCTAGGAAAGAATTTTCCATTTTAATAATTTTTAATAATACATATACATGTTCTTATGTTGTGTAGCAAGTTTGAGCTGATTCCGATCAAATATGAATTTTTTATGAATTTTTAAAGTTACTCAAAAATCGGGCTAAAGTCCCTGTACTATAGTACAGGGGCGTTGGCAAAATTTCATCAAAATTGACTAGGAGAGAATTTTCCATTTTTATAAATTTTTCTGATACATATACATGTTCTTATGATGTGTAGCAAGTTTGAGCTGATTTTGATCAAATATGAATTTTTTATGAATTTTTAAATTTGCTCCAAAATTGGGCCAAAGACCCTGTACTATAGTACAGGGGCGTTGGCCAAATTTCGTCAAAATTGACTAGGAAAAAATTTTCCATTTTTATAATTTTTTCTGATACATATACATGTTCTTATGTTGTGTAGCAAGTTTGAGCTAATTCCAATCAAATTTAATTTTTTATGAATTTTTAAAGTTGCTTAAAACTAACACTATGGACTATATAGTTACAGAGTAACAAGAGTATGCATTAAAATAGCTGAAAATGAATTAGCTGGGGTAGTCATGGTCAGTTTTGCCTTGCCTTTACAGATATTACAATTAATAAATCTGAGACTGAGCTCAATTCTTTACCCTCCTCTCTCTTACCAATAAGAGGAAAGAAAGGACTCTTCCTGACTCCATACTCAGTCGGGAGTACATAAGACAGATAAACACTAACAAACATTAGCAATACAGTTGAGCCAGCAAGATAGAGTATAGCTGTTGTAACAAGGTTGAGGCCTCCTTTAGGCGAGAGTATATCCATACCATAACACTGGTAGGAACCACAAGCATCTATCATATAAAACAATAGCCTAAAGAAAGAGTAGAAAAAGAGCTATAGGCAGAAGTGTAAATTGTATTGTAGTACCTGTAAAATGCGAATGGAGGATATAACATGTACACAAACAAAGGATTTTGATCATCAGGAAACACCTAAAATAAACAACAATAAACAATAAAAAGAACAATAAAAAGAACAATAAATAATATTTTAAAATTATTCTTCTCTTACTTGTAGTAATTCTAGTACCATTGCGACCATAACTCCAGCAATGACTAGTATGTACCCAACGATGGTGGCAGTTCTTGGTCGATTGAAGAAATTAGCAAAAAAGAAACCTAACACAACTTGAGAGTGACCCCACAAAAGAAATATAATAGTAATAAGAAGTGGACTCGTCTAAAAAAATACAAAAACTTAATTTTCAAAAATGTTAAAATTGATTGGGTAACCCATCAAATTTTTATTCCCCTTACCTGCGTGAATAATCTGACTTTCCATAGAATAGAACAGATTGCTATAACAATAGCAATTATGATATAAATGATATAATTAAATATATAAGTGATGGTCCAGTAGGTGATCCTGTTCAGTCCGTTCTGTTCCATCATTATCAAATGACGTTCAAACTTATCCTTAACAAGAGCAGCTATGAATACCTGTGGGTGGAGTTAAGAGAGATAAATGGGAGGTGCAATAAGGACTGATATGATATTGGTACTTACAGGGAATAGGAAAGAGGCTGCAAAAGGATAGAGTATTCCGCCAAGAAGATTAGTAACATCAATAGTGAGATTAGCCTCATGTGGATACAGTGGCATTATGTAAGTAACTATTAGTGACTCATTAGTATAACTGGTATCTGTAAAAGAGAGAGAGAGAGAGAGGAAAGATAGAACGTAATCAAATACATTCTACATGTCTATTTGTCCATTTGCACTTAAGTACCTGATGGATCTAATTGATGCTTAAGGATAGCATTATGAGCCATATTCATTAGTGTATTCCTGGAAAGAGATCATCTATCATTACTATTATTATTATTACTATGCTACCTAACCTCCTTTGTACTTCAACAGAGGAGCTTCCAACCTCTTCTTTGAATGAGAAATCCCTCACTGAGTATAATGAGATCTCGTTTGCTATGATAGTATAATCAATATTAACTGAAGAGCTGGTGCTGGTGAATGAGTTTATGTATATAGCACCATGTGGCTTCACCTGAGAGAGAGAGAAAGTAAATTAAAAATTAAACAATTTCTGATACTTTACTTTGCTATAATCTCTTCCCTTAACATAATTCAATGTAGTATTATATTGTTCCTGTGACTGAGCAGTGACCTCATAATTCCTAACATCAAAGTATCAATATCAGTATCAATATCAATATCAGTATCAATATCAGTATTAATAAGTACCTGTTATATTGATCATTACCAGTTGATGATGTACCAGCTAAAACACTGTAATTTCTTACAACCTGTAAAAATCAGTATAGACTTGTATACATGTACATATATACATAAAAGACCAGCAGTCAACAAAGAAAACTAAACTGTTATTATCATAATGAAACTGAAAGGATTAAAGCATAATGTATACATAAATATCAAGATAGCCTTTATTATAAAGCAATACGGTAGAAGCATTTGTATATATGGCCTCAGCATAAAATGTAACTGCAATAGTAATCAAATCAACATAACAACAATAACATACAAATTAATAATTATATTGTTTAACTAGCCTCAACAAGATGTTTTTGTAAATCTGATATTTTATCATTTGGAAATGAAACTACAAATGGTATTTGTACATTGTCATCATCTTCCTAAAGGAGAGAGAAGAGACTAAAACTGTACAAGAGAGAGAGAGAGAACTAACCTGTATGTCCTCATCAAAGTACCTGTGCCTGTAATGAGGGTTGATGGTGAAATTTAAAGAGAAATTGAATAACAATGGAGTAGCAATGAGGAGATCTAGAGTAAGAGAGAGAGAGAGAGAGAGATGAAATAAAAGCCACAAGTACATGTAATGAGCCTGTACCTTCAAATCTGCTATCCAAGTTAACTGATGGGCTCCTACAGCATATAAAAACAATAATGACTTCTCTCCCTCTCAATTCCTTACTTTCCAAAATAATAATAAGGCAAATCAAACAGGACTTGTTGTTTTGGCACAGTGCTGTTCTCCATTAATGTATCGATGAGTTCAGCAAATGTTGTATTCTGTAACTGAGGGACTTTACCATCAAGGAGTAATGGTGGAAGAGCATCAATATCAAAAGATGTCAGGAAATTAAAGACTTCGTCATAGCAAATATCAGGAGTATCGTTATAAGGAGGAGCACTGTCATTACAATTAATGACACGTGACACATCTTGTAAAAGAAAAAGAGAGAGAGTATAAAAATGTCTCTTGCTTTGTATGAACAATAGTGTGTGAACATAGCTGTAATTAACACCTCCAGCTTATAGGAGCTACCACCCAACAGCAACAAAATAACAAACACAACAACAAATAAAGCATCAATAACATTGTAGAATAAATAATAATAAATAAATAAATACCATAGGGGAGTAGCAGTGAGTTGGATCCAGGTACAAGTGCTCCATTCTTGTGTAGGAAATGATTGAGGACCACTTGAATGATACCAGCAAAACATATGAATATAACTGGAACCAGTAACTGGCAAATGTTAGTCACATAAGACTTCAACTGTAGAGACAGATCTTTTAAAAACTACAAGGAAGGACAAATAAAATTATATAAAATCCAATAAAATCATACCAATGCTCTGAACTGGTGCCAAAAGGTGACCTTCTTAGCAAAGCAGGAGCTGTGGTCGTATGGCTGGTCACCATTGTTGATTGATCCCCCGTTGGTCTGTCTTCTACTGTTTCTGTGATGAACTACCTCTATCTGAGGCTCCATATTCTTAATCATGTGATGATTTTAATAACCTTTAATAACATGCGGAGTTGAAGTATCCGGAGCAAGTTTTAGAAATTAGTAAATTACAAAGGGTATCCGATATCAAGAATCCAAGATGGAGCCCTATAAGTTGATAACCAAAGAGGAAATAGCCGCCCTACCAAAGGACCTCAAGCAATGCAGACACTGTGCACACGCCATGATATACGCAAAATTACCAGAGAAACTCTTTGGCAGGTATGACAAGAGATATGCAATACTGGTAAGCTGAAAATGGAGATTTTATGAACCATGCCCACCCATTTTTTGCTGCATTTTTGTTCAATTTCGTTAGATGCAGATGAGGTTTGATGGTACATTGGGTTTCTCGGGTGGTATGGTAGATGAGGGAGAGACGGTTGAAGAGGCATGCACACGCGAGTGTTCGGAAGAGCTAGGGGTGTCACCAGCAGACCTGACCATCACACAGGACGACCATGTCACCACTCATTATTCCGATAAAACTCACTTTTGTCTTCATTTCTTTGCGAAAGAAGTCTCGCTGGAGCTCTTCCACGAGATAGAAAAGAAAGCAACTTCTTCAAAAGACTGGGGAGATGAAGTGAGAAGGATATTATAAATACATTCCAAGAGTTGTTTTTTTCTCTCAGGTTCTTGGTATAGTAAGATGTCCGCTTCATACACTACCGAATGGTTTAGGTTTTCCTGCTTTTCTACGTCACAGCTTCATAGGTAATTCAAAGGTGCAGCTATTGACTAGTATCAGAGAGAGAGGGCTACTCACTGAAGAAGAGGTTCAAACTGCTTTAAAAACAGCTGGACTTGTCGACTGTGTAGTCACCAATGACAACACTGATTATTAATGCTCTGATAATTATAATTGTCATTTTATAATACATGAACTTTATTTATTAATATTTAATTAATGGCTATTAAATTAATTCATAAAATAAATTTTATCGACACAATGATAGGAAAATAATGAGAAAAGAGGAGGAGGATAATAATAATAATAACAACAATTACTAGTGATGATAATAATATAGACAGGATGCGTGAGTATGTGTGTGTAGCCTTAAGTGAAGCGTTTCATTTTACTGCTATTCAGTCTTGATACTTGCTTATCCAGTAACTTTCTCTTGTGTGGAAACTTTGCTGCTAGAACAGCATCTTTGGCCGTAGATGAATTACTAGCAGAGGCAGCCTTTGAGACTCCCTTTGGGGTAGACCCAGTAGCAGCTGCAGGGGCTGGTTTCTTACGAGTTTCCTTTTTCTGTTGGACGTGAGACTCCAACTGAGCAGAGAACCAGTCCATGGGTGCAGGCTTTAAAACTGAAGACTGTGACTTTGATCCTGCTGTTGCTGACGTAGGCTTTAGTTTCGGCTTGCTATTAAAATCATTAGCACTAACGCTCTTTTTGATAGTTCCAGGAGAGACTTTCTGTTTTTTAGGAGGTGGAGTGAGTGAGTCCTTCTCTTCATGCTGATAGAATGATTTGCTTTTCTTCTCTTTCTTACCAGTTGAAGGACCGGACTCATTCCTGCTACTAGCACTAGCATTCTTAGCAGACTCAGGTCTTGATCCTTCTCTACCTCCACTGGACTTCTTCTTACCAGAGCCTAGCAAAGACTTGTCTTTTGATGGTGGGGTGGTTTTGTGACTGTTAGTGAGTGGTTTAGAAGGAGACGGTTTACCAGTAGAGATACCAGTACTGCTAATAGATGGTTTGCTAATACTAGTAGTGTGGCTCTCCTCTGCTGGCACTGGCTGGCTGTCATGCTGTAGCTTCTTAAGTGGTGAAGGATTTGAAGTCTTTTCGCTCGATTTCAAAGACTTGGAAGATGATTTAGAATCTGATTTTGACTTGGAATCTGATTTTGATGACTTTGATTCGAACTTTGCTCTCTCAGCCTGGGGAGGTTCAATGGTCACGCTAATACTAGGAGCAGGTGGAGCCTGGACTGCTTCTTTCTTTCTACGTTTCTCTTTCCTCTGTCCTCTCTCCTTCTCCTTGTGGACCTTATTAGTTGATAAAGGCTTAGAGGCTGGGGCCGGGGGAGGAGAAGCTGGAGCTGGTGGTTTTTCAGATATCACGGAGCTGTCAAATGTGACTCTGTTTTTCTTTGGTTTAGGGAGTGAAATCTCTTCATCTTCATCACTCGAATCATCAATGACGTTCCGTTTTATAGCCCTGGTGCTCTTATGGGACAAATGGGATTTAGAAGATGAAGGTTTTGAAGGCGGAGCTTTGACCGGAGAAGGAGGAGGAGTAGGAGAAGCAGGAGGAGGAACAGGAGAGGGAGAGAGAGGAGGGGGAGGGGATAAAGGTTTTGTGTTCTGATACGAGAGAGGAGGAGGAGAAGGAGGTGGAGAAGGACTTGCTTCTACCTCCATTTGCATTGTATTATCGTCAGACGGTGGATCAATAAATGTGATATCAGTCCCGTAATTTGATGGAGCTCTGTGAGTAGGTGGATCCTGATGATCGCGACCAGGGGTTCTAAGAGGCGTGAAAACTGGTTCTAATAGCTGGGGCTCATTTGGAGAGGGTAAGTCTCCCTCGTCCTCAGAGGAACTGGAATAAGCAGCTGCTAATATGTTTAAAATATTCTTACGAGGAACCGGTCTTCTGTAATAAGAATAAGGTGAATAGGTGGTCTTTGGAGGAGGGGGAGGAGGAGGAGAAGGAGAGTCTCGTATCTGCGGGAACCTTTCTTCCTCTGTCAGCTTCTTTGGCTTCTTCTTTCTTCTAGAACCTTCCTCTTCTCTAGTCGACGACAGAGGTCTTTGAGATGTCTCTTTAGCTATGGGATGGCGTGTCGACTCGTCACCTTTTGATGTCTGAGGGACGGGAGGAGGAAGGGGAGATGGGGTACATGTAACGGGCGGAGCCTCTCGGTTCTCGTCCTCGTGATTGTGGAAGGACTGGAAACCAGAGTAAGGTGTCTTAGGAGGTGCGTCATATTTGGGTGTGTCCAAATCAGAAGGACTTCCCCCTGGAGAAAAGAGATCATTGGGGAGATAGATAGGAGAGGGAGGGGGTGAGGGTGAAGGTGGTGGCGATGGAAGTGGTTTGTTTTTAGTCTTTGGTGATACTGGTTTAGGAGGAGAGGGAGAGGAGAAAGGTGGAGGTGAGAGTGAGAGATGGTCATTAGACGGTACATCAACTGATGGTTGAGCATAAAAAGGCAGTGGCTTATTAGAAACAGGCTCACTAGCAGCAGTCTCCTTGCTCCCTCCCTTTCCACCACTGCTCCTCTTCTTACTGCTTTTCTTTGACTTCTTAGCCTTGGCAGCTTTCGCAGACTCCAATTTATCCAACAACATGGCGGAATTACTCGGGCCATTCCTACTATCCCTATCGCTCTCTTGAGGTATGGCTGAAGGTCCAGTCTTATTGAGTAATGGCATCTTCTTTGAAGGAGCACTGGCCCTGAACAAAGGCATCCTTTTAGAAGGAACCGGTCTCCTGTGAATGATAGGAGGTTGCTGGGTATAGGATACTTCTTTTACTGGAGGAGAGGGCTGGCGGGGAGGAGAGGGTTGATGAGGAGGAGAGGGGGAGACATGAGAGGGAAGAGAAGGGATAGGGTTAGGTGAGGAGGACTCATTACTGAGAGGAACCGAGGGAGACTTCTTATCTTGACTCAGTCTACGTCTCACTTCAGTCTGTGATGCAAACCGCCTCTGTATTGCCTTGAAATGAGCCATTTGATGAACAGCCTTGCTTGGCGCTGGTTTGAGTATTTGAACAGATTGAGGATGATAAGAAGAAGTGAATCCATTACTAATGATACTACCATTCTTACCAGGACCAGGATCAGCCTCAGTATCACTGTAAGCATCTGATTCACTCGAGCTATCACCATCAATCCCGTGAATCTGTTTCCCGTTACACTGGCCCCTAGCTTGAGGAGGAGGAGGGAGAGGGGATTCACGTGGGGCCTGGCTCGGTTTAGACTGTGTCTTATTCTTTCCCATTATTCCGGGCATGAAATCATCATCATCGTCAGAATAAGAGAAGCTAATGGAGTCCTCGCTATCAAACACGTTAGGAAAGACCGGAGTACCTTTCTCAAAGACACTACTAGGATCATTGGTATGCTCAGGGCCTAGTAGAGATGGATTAGTACCGAGAGACGGAGAGGTATGAGAAACAGGAGGGGGAGGGTTAATCGTGTGTGGTTGAAGCTCCTCCTCCTCTTCCTCCTCATCACTATCATCACTACTGTCAGTGCCACTGCTATCAACAACAGCTGACGGAATGCGTCCCTTTCTCTCCCCAGCTGTCAGTGGACGCTCAACTTCATTACTCATACTTTCATTAAGGACCTGTGAGCCCATCAATCCATCAATATTATCAGTGCTAGTATCAGCATAGTACTCTTTCAATCTGAGGTGCCAGGCTACGCTCGAGCAGGCAGAGATGGTTCGGAATTGATGTATGACTTTTCGTGGTATGAAGTATATGTCGTTGTCGTGAAGACGAAATTGAGAATAACGAATCCCGTCACGTCTTAACTGGTTGAGTTTAGCCTCTTCGATCCACTGGCGACACTAAGAGATAGAGTGAATTAGTGGGAGAGGAAGGAAGAGAAGGAATGAAGACAGAGGGAGGGGAGGAAGAGAAAGAGAGATCATATAAGGCATCTATCAGTAATTGCTATTAGTAAACACAATGAGAGAGGGAGAGGGGGGTAGTGCAGCGATTCAATAACTCATTCAAGTATACTAATAGAGGAGGCACTTTGTACAAACACAAAAGGTACACAATCACAATCTTAGAATAAAGAAACACACTTCCATACACACAGTTCATACAAGCAAATGGAATTATGAATGGACATGTATAATGTTTATAATAGTGACACTGCATACTGATAATGTATACTTAATTAGACTCTTACTTGTGACATTGGTGGTTCAAACAGGTCCACTTGCATTCTCAATGTCACCTCATCAAAGTCCCCAGCATGAAAACATATAACATCCTTAGTCTCACGATTAACACTAGACGATCTAAATGAGAGATGAAAGGATAGCAAAGTTCTAAGAATAGTTTACACTATACAAAGCAATAATGTCAAATTGCCCATACATGTATGCATGTATGCATGTACATTTACATTATCACAACAATGGAAAGGCCTTGAACACGACATGCTACATGTAAGTCTACATTATGTCACTTCACAATCTCCCACTCAATCCTCCTACTCCTCTCTCTCTCCCTCCCTCCCTCCCTCCCTCCCTCCCTCTCTCTCTCTCTCTCTCTCTCTCTCTCTCTCTCTCTCTCTCTCTCTCTCTCCCCTCTCTCTCTCCTTTACTTTTCTTCATCATTCGTATGAACAGCTTTCAATACCCCGACAGCAGCAGTTGTTTCTCCTTGCTTCACGTGATCAGCGTGACAGTGTGTCCTATCCTCAAAAAACGTTTCCCTTTTCTCGTTCATCCGTGAACCGTGAAGCAAAGACTGGACCTCATTGCCTCTAAAATAAAATTAAAAAATATAAAACTAACAACCAAATAACATCCAGTGACAAACCTTCTTCTCTTCTTGTGAGGTGTAGGCATTTCAGCAGTAGGTATGAGCTGTTCCCCTGGCCTCACCCAGAGAATAGGGCCGTCATCACTCTTACTGCGATCAGTTAACTGTAGGACCGAGAGAGGGCCCCAGGGTAATGTCTTGGATAGAAATGGACTCTTTTCTAATAGGTCTAGAGAGAGAGAGAGAGGAGAAAGGAGAGGGAGAGAAAGAGAGCAACTTGGCATAAGTATGTGTTTGAATAACAATGAATCGTGTAGTGCTGCATGTAAAAATATATGTACTTGTATCTTATTACAGTGGCACAGCCAGAATTGACATTTATAATCAAAACATAATTAATTATTAGAATTAATCCAGCATTCTCTTTTCTCTAGTATAGGATGGCCTTATTCCCTCTCTCACTTTTATCAACTAGTAATCATTGCTATAAAACAAGAGCTAAGGGAATTAACCCACTGCCTCAATATTTATAATATCTATATTCCTCTCTACTATTATTATCGTTGTAACATCTTCCATTTTCTATACATTAGCACATAGGTTTGTACTCACATTCTTCCTCTTCTATTTTCATTTCCTTCATTCATTCTCTCAGTTCAATAGTGTTCTCTCTCCCCCCCCCCTCTCTCTCTCTCTCTCTCCTCTCTCTCTCTCTCCCCCTCTCTCTCTCTCTCCCCCTCTCTCTTTCTCTTACCTAAGAATTGAGGGAAGTATCTACCACTCTCCTCTGATACTTGCTGTACAAGTGTCACCTGAAGAAGAGGGCCACACCTAAAGGTCCCATTGCTATAGGAACTTGTAACTTTAGAACTAAACTCGGCAAAAGTGGTTGTCTCAATCTCTGGGTTTCTGATATTGCCCATTTTGACTCTTAGGTCTGGGTGCGTCTGTGAGAAATGGCTGACGAGCTCTGGGAGGTATTTGGCCCCGTTGTGGACAATACCCATCACGTGGTGTGCAAAACCATCAGAATCCTCGCTGAAAACCTCCTCAAAGAACCTCTCAACGAGGGGCCCTTTATCAGAGCAAGACTCAAAATCAGAGTAGTCGAGATGGACGACGCTAGCCCCGCCATTTGGGTGAGTGCGTATCTGCAGACACTTTGACAGCTCCTCCTTTAGTAAGGAGGGATCGGTGTCCTTTATATCGGGGGAAGTAAAGGCAGGACAGTAGGGAGGGCCTTCATCAGTCTCCTTCTCACTGGGGGGCTGGGGGCTAGAGGGAGGAGGGGTAGAGGAGGAGGACCTGTAGTAGTGACGCGAGTTCGTGTAGGCAGAGATCTTTGTTGAGCTTTGGGGGAAGCGAGAGCGATGGGGGAAAGAACTCCTGCTTGAGCTGTAATGATACTGGGTCATGGCCATGGTACTCTTTCTCTCTCTCTCTCTTTTGAGTTTTGAATAACTGTATTTATAATAGATAGGAGAGAGAGTGTGAAAAGAATGCACTATCATGGTATGTATGTATGCACACATGTACACAATAACAAAACAGGTCTTTATTTCATACCTTCCTTCTCGCTCGATCAAAGCTATAGAAAGAGCCTTTAAAGCTTTCCTGGACCTTAATCTAGCGTAGAGGGAGAGACAAAGCCTTTGAGCTCTTCACATAAGAGGAGTATGAGTGATAAAGGAGAAGGAGAAGAAAGAAATCACTTCATGTTTAGAGATCACGAGCGTACAAATAAACGGAATTCACGAAACCACGCCTATAATAACTTAATTCACGCCCATCAATTAGCAGATATTAAAGTTTGTTAATTTTAATAAGAATGGTTTGTTAATCTTAATTTATTAACTAATTCCCTCTATTTACCACGCCTATTTGTGCTTAAACACGTGTTATAATAATTATAATTATTATGGATCTTTTCTATATCCTTTTAGGGCTCTTTCTCCTCGTTGTCTTGGCCATTTTTCTTTACCTCCTCTACTCTGGCCTCTTCTACACCTACACTATTCGTTGTGCCATCCCTGCTTCCATCCCCAACAGATTTGCGTACACCTTTTATATTGGACCATATCAGAAGATTGGCTCAGCTTGTTGGCGTCTTTGCTCCATCGTACCTCGTTCAACGATATTCGTTGTGTATTATGATAATCCGGACAAGGTGAGGAGAGACTGGGTAATGAATGGGCGGAGGAAAATGTTGGGCGGGCAATTTCATTATAATTATTAATTTTTACAAAAATCAAGAAATTTTTCATAACTAAAAACTGTGGGTCTTGGTCATTCTTTACAATAATAGTACTTATGCATGCATGCATGGTTTTTAGCAACTTCAAAAATTCATTAAAAAATTAATTTTGATTGGAATCAGCTCAAACTTTCTATGCAACATAAATACATGTATATGTATCAGAAAAAATTATAAAAATGGAGAATTCTCAACTTTTCGTTTTTGGCGAAATTTGGCCAA